GCCACCTGGGCACACCCTGGCTCATGGTCAGTCACTGGCACCAGCACCCCAGCTCCTTTTCCACAGGGCAGCTTTCCTGCCACTCTGTCCCAAGGCTGTAGGGCTGCCTAGGGTAGTATGTCCAGAGGAGCTGGCTTTAATCATGGGGGGTGGTGCATCCCACACTCCCTCACCAGCCACACTATCATCTGAGAAATGCTCATTAGTCCTCGGCCTTAGCAAACATCATCTGGGCTTAGCTCCTCTTGATTTCTTCAGACTACTGTCTGTTCCCAGGAATTAGTACTGTCTAGTAAGTACCTGTTTCATTAAACTGACTTGGAAACTTATTTTTCTTGCCTGAAAAACAACCTAAGTGGAATAATATTTTTTGTTGTTGAACATTCAAAGAAAGTTACTGACTCAAACTGTGGCCACAGATAATTATTATGACTAAAGCCCACTCTCTTGTGACCCTATAAACAGCAGTCCAAAGTGAGACCTATTCTATGTGAACATGAAAATCTAAAATGTCTAAACTGTATATTGAGTATAAATCAATAAAAAATTTTTACACATTTTCTCAGTTTTAATTTTTTAATGGTTCACAGTGTTAGTTTGAAAGACAAAGTGCAAAAGGTCAGAAAGATTACAACTCACAATGCAAAACAAACCAAGTGCAAGAAGCTTTTATTCCAAAGCATGTGCAAAAGGCAGCCTTACTTTCTGGAATGCATTGAGCCCACTTCTAGCATTTTGCTTTTTCTGAGAAAATACTGGAGAAGAGAAGCAGAAAAATGAGGAGCAAAAAGCAGAATATCAATAGGGAAGGAAATAAAGGATAAAAAAGAAGGATATACTCACTCTCCAAAACCTAAGAATTGTTACAAGGATAACCTGCCACCTAGCAAGAACCTCCCCTTTCTAGTGATCCCTTAAAGGTTGCATTATTTTCACTTTTTACCTGTCTCAAACATGCAACTCAGAATATGCAGCTTTCATATGGCTGTTAAACAATTTCTATAAAGGCCCAAAATATCTCTGCATGTGTTTATTTTTATATATTGTGATATTAAAACAAACCCTGAGATTTAAGGGAAAAAACTGCTGTGATGGAATCAGTGAGTTCTGAACCCGGGGAGACAATAACATAGCTGTGAGTGAGAAGTCCAGAATCAACTGAAGCAGCAGAAAAAAGCACTGATCTAACCAAAGCTTTGTACTAATTTCAGAGTATGTCTTACCTAAATGCTCAAGGGCTTATAAGAGCAAATATATATGCATTTCATCTTGGAGCACTGTGGTTGAGAAAGTGATCCAACAAACATGAGAGAGGGAAATCAGTGTTTCTGGATAAGGAACATTTGAAGAAATTGTTTACCCATCCTTTCTGGGCAATGGGAGGAACATTGTTCTAAGTTATAGCAGCTTCCAAACTATAAAAAAAAAAAAAAAAAAAAGATCCTAAGTGCAAAACTTCACACAGTTTTCCCCAAAACAATGCAATAGCCACTGCACCCAGGGAAAGGCTCAGCCTCCTCATTCATGCTTACAATGGATTTTCCATTCTTTCACTCTTCTTCCTGCACGTCAAGGAAAGGCTTTCTAATCCTATTCACATTTGTCTCACATTTTCTATCCCCATAACTCCTGTATCTTTTTTACCCTGGAAGAAATCTGTTGTTGTGCAAACTACAACCCTGTGCAAACAAGACTAATGACATCAAGCCCCTAAGCGATGTAAAAATAGTTCAAAGTCTTAAAATTACCTTATCCCCCATATGTGTCACACTGAACACCCCCTTCTAATACAATTTACTTAGACTCTGCATCTTTTAAAATCTGTTATTTAGAAGACTATGTCATTAAGAGTTTTTCAATAATGGCCTCTTTCTTGTTAAAAAATTAGTGTGATCGAGTATTTTACTGCTTAATTACTGCTAAATAATTAATTTACTGCTGATTTGTGAAATGGAAACTACAACTAGATTTATGATTTAACAAAATCATAAAACAAATGACAAACGTTATATCCTTCATGCAGAAACACCTAATCCTAAATCAATTACTAGAGAATATCTGTGAAGATTTTATACTTAGTGTTTTTTCATTACCTCCCTGAAAAATAATTTCCTAACTCAGTGCTTATTCTAACACAAGATGTCATATTTAGTTGATTTTTTTTCAGTTCAAAATATCAAAATCTCAACTGGGAAATGCAGTTTTAAATTGAAACAAATTAGAAGCACAGGAACAAGAAGATAAGAAGTAATCCTTCAGTAAGCAGTTTTTAAAAGCAGGAAACAAACAGGAGAAACAAAACCAGCACAAAATGCTGAGAACTATTAAAAACATGGGAAAGGAAAGGAAGCAACATAGTAAGCATAACACATTTTCCAAAATGCAGCTAACATAGCAAATATACTCTCATTAAAGACAAGAAACTATAAGCCAAACCATTAATTCAAGAGTCAGGATACAAAAAGACAACTACTGAAATCTAGAAAATATTTGTAAAACAAGAGGAACATGATATATAAAACCAGATAAAAAAACAATCAAGGGAAGTAAGAAGAGGAAAGGATTTCTGCTTCATGTAACTGAAGGAAGGATTCAGCAGATTCTGATTCTGTGCAAGTTCGCCCATGTTTCCCATCAAAGCTGAGCCTTGCGAACTGGTCATGTGGGGAGAAAGAGATGTGCTGCTTGTACTGCTGGATGCTCCTGCAGCAAATATCAGTTTGTTTTAGCAGGCTGATACAGGACAACTAAGAAAAAATAACAAAAGCTATTTCTTTTGCCCCACTACTGGCATGTCTGGTAAAAAAACAAAACAAAAAACCAAACCAACTAAAACCTCAAACATCCACACTGAAACTGAACTCTGACGTGCACACACACAGTGTAAAAAATTACTTCACAGCTATTTGAAGGAAGAGGGTGCTCCCATCCGAATTAACTGAGGATCAGCCACGTTAGAACATACGAATGGCTATGAGCAGCAGAGCCAAGGGATATCTCACAGGAGGATTTTACCATGGAGTTTTCTCATACTACTGAGCTTTGGCCAGCCTGAACATGTCCAGTGTTATGTATGATTGTCCTGGCACATCTGGTTGAAAAGGAGATAAGACGCTTGACTGGCTTTTGTGTTCGTCCGTACTGTGTTCTGGCAGGCTCTCAGAAACAAGAAATTCCCTTGTTTTAACTGAATTTTTAAGGTATGGATTGAACAGTGCTTTGTCACTGAAATCTTCCAGCTTTAAAACTTCTTCATCATAATTTTCTTCATTTTTAACTGGATTCTGTTGGGATCCACACAAATCATTTGCAACCATTTCTATGGGTTGGACTTCCTTCGCTGGTATCAAAGCTGAATGCATTTGACTTCTGGTAAATTGCTCAGCAAGTATATAAGGCATGGATGGAGAAAAACATTTAGCAACTTCATTCTCTTCATTACACAGTATCTTTTCATCTCCGTTAGTTATGTCTTTTGTATTAATATCAGTACATTCAGAAACATGGTTTTCATAATTTATTAGTAGTGATCCTTCCTGACTTTCTTCAGGAAAACAATATTCTAAAACACTTATGTCTTCAGGGTTTACAGTTTTAGTCTGAGATGACACTCTCTTCAAAAATGAATTATTCTGTCAGTACAAAGAGATAAATTGGAGAGTTATAAAGGGATAGATAATGTATCAGTTCATTTTTTAAAAAATAAATTATTGCTATTTGAGCTCTGTTTAACTTGTAATTTCAGACTTGCACTAGTAAAGAGTTCACATGCATTTCAGACAGGATGCAGTTACATGTGAATGAGTACTAAAAAAGACAATGTTATTCTGTCCATTTGCTAAACACTTTTGTATTAGGTTTCCTGTGCTTAATGGAAGAATGAGTTTCAGTGAAAGCTCAGAATCAAGTTTGGATTGTGTCCATATTTTCTAGTTTAACCAGACATTTTTGAGAAAAAGTTTAAACCCCATTATCCACAAATGAGTTTCTGTGTAAACCTGATCAAATCTACTCTGTTCAAATAAACATCAAAACTTGAAAAGGAATAAATAGTCAAAAAATAAAAAGACAGAACTGTTAATACAACCATATACCAAATCTTACTATATGTTGCAATACATTTTTTGTGGAGAAGAAAGGGAGTATGCAGATGTGGAAACCTGATTTAATACACTCAATGGCCTATGCAAATTTACTTTACTAAATTAACCATGTACACCAACCACTTTGTCACTTCAAAACATTATTTCTCAATATCCTAAAATATTTAATATACTTTATGAAGATCCATCTTTTCTATTGTTTTGGAATACTACAAAGAGCATTTTGTAGAGAGCAAAGAGCAGTTTAAAAGAATGAAACTCAATAAAGAGTGGGGGGGAGGGGGTTTGATTCATAAAATGACTGCCAGAAAAGGATTTCTTTTCACTCCATTTGATCCCTTCTTTAATGTATGAAATTCCAACTATTACCATAGCAAGAGGCCATTCCACTGCAAGGCTCTCTTCAGGATTTGGTATATCAGGCCAGCAAACCTTTTTAAACCTATAATTGAGGAAGGAATTTTAGCCAAATTATGAAAGAAATAGATTATTAAAAATAAAATTAACAAATCACCAGAAATTCCAAATACTGCTAAAGTATCAAACTTTCATAAAGGAAGTCTTTTCTATATCAACACAATGCTTTGCAATAAAACTGTTTTCCCATACATTGATTTTAATTACAAAAAATCTCAACAAGATCTCTTGGATTACAGAGACATTGCAGAAAAACTGTTCATTCACAAAAGTAATTTTTTATTATATTATATTACTCAATTAAATAGTATATGGAATAAGAGTATGCCAGAATAAGACAGTATCCAAATTTTGCTGTGATAATTTTTCAGGGTGTTTCTTCAGTGAAAAGCCACCTCGGTGACCTTTGCTCAAGGGAAGTGTCCCTATCTACACTGAATTCCTAAATTAACAGCAGATGAATGCTGCTCAGTCATTGAATCACTCATTGACACTAGGTAGAAAAGTAAGGGAATGAAACCCAGCCCTTAGCTTGACTTTTCACATGGCAATTTGATCTACACAGGAATATAAACATTCTACTGCATCTCAAAGTACTCTTCAGAATCAAAAAATAATTCTTACTAGTGTAAAAATTCAGTATATTCAACACAGATGAAGGTGTAAAAGGGATGGAAATTATTGCTTCAGTTGTACTTATTACCTGATGCTTCACTTGATAACAGAATTGGTTCCAATAGCTGAGAATGTCCCAAAATAGTTCAGATTTTTAATCTTTTCATCAGCCAAACAACCCAGTCAGTTTTCTTGTGAAAGAAAAGCATATTTAATAAACTTTAAAAAAACCTCACTGTCATCTTTGGAATGTTACTGGAACCCCATGCTTAGAGAAAAAAAATTAAAATCTGCCAGGGGACATCCATGACAGCAGATGAAAGAATTATGAATCATGTACAGATACAGGTCCATACTCAAGGATCAAGTATCCAAATGTTTTCACAAAATGCAATTTCTAGGTTTTTTCCTTATTCCTTTGCAGCTCAAGGGAGGCATCACAAACTAGTAAGAGTCATATTGTTATAGGTAAGATAAGCAATAGGGACTATGTGAAATATGTCCTAGAACCATCCTAACATATTAGAAGTGTCTAGAAAGCTTTATTTCTTGGCATTATTAATTTTTCAGAAACTGACTTTAAGTTTGCTCCCCTCACTTAAATGACCTTGGAACTGCAAGTGGCATGTATGTAGCATTTTACATAAACTGATGTAGGTGATATGTAAACCTGTTTCTCTCATTTATTATGTTTCAATTTACTAAACTTCCTGAAACTAATACTTATTTTTGGACTATAGCACATAAACTGCAGTCAATGTATAACCTGCATAATATTTGTTACTTCAATTGCTTGTTTTCCATTTTGACATTGGTTTTGAACACAAGAAATGCATTTATAAAATAAATAAAAATTCCCATTTTACAAGTTAATTTTAAGCGATTGCATTCAGTTTTAGACAGTAGCAAATATACTCACGCATGTTTTTTCAAAACACATGTTATCCAAAGGCCTATCAGACACAACACACTTATCCCAACAGGTATAGCAATAAAAAAGAAATCTTCTTTATCTTTAGAGAAAAACAAAGAAATAAAAACCAAAACACCAGTCAGTCCACATTGTCATTTCTTCAGTTATTCCTTTAAGACAGCTAATTTTTAATATCCATGTCACTTAATTAGCACAATTCTAAAAAGCTCTGTCAAAACTAGCCAAAATTATTCAGAATACTGTAGAATACCCATCCTATGATGAGTCAAAAGATCAGTATTTGGAATCCAACAAGCCACCATTACTGAGCCAGAAAACCAGGTCATGATGAGACTTTGCAGGATGTTTTAGGAACAGGTTTACCGCATTTTTAAAGTTCCTTTCAAATCACAAAAAAAAAAAAAGTTACTCTGAATGAAACACTGCTCAGATTTCTGAGCTAGTTTCCAAGTACCAGATTACTGGAGGCATTTAGGAATGTGCTGAGAACATTCTTCCAGAAGTTGAAAGGAGGAAATGTCTGAGCTTCTGATCTGATGCCGTTATACCAACCTCCCCATCAAATCTGGCTAAAACACATAGCAAGAGATAGGAAGAGAGGATACATACTCACTGGCCACAATCTCTGCACTCATTTATCAGTTAAGCTTCTATACCAGATTAGGTGCAACACAATGTGTGGTTATTGTAAATCTCTCAGGTGGAAAACTCTACTTTTTAATGAACTGTTAAGCAACCCATCCCATAGCCGGTAGCATACACATTGCTGCTTCCACAGCCACAGTACTCCACAGCTTTACTGACAAGTAAATAAAGAATTTTAGGGTTGACTTCTAATTCTGAGGGGTTTTTTTAGTCTGTGAGACTGACAGTGAAATTAAATTAAATTCAACTACTGTCACAAATTCTTCCTTGTTTTGTTCAACACTACTTAAAAAACAAATAGAAGTTAACAAATGCCTAAGCAACAATGTCCTGTATTTCTTACTTCCCAAACAACCTGGATTATTACTTACCAAATTTCAAAGTCTTGAAGGTTTTTTGATCTCCAACGGTTCCACCAGCTCTGTTGCTTGCCATGATCTGAACAGTATATTGTGTATTAGCCTGCAAGGACTTCAGTCTGTATTGCAGAACGTCAGAGTTCACTGTTTCATCTTTTGAGGAGAAGATTTATGTCAGTAAACACACAAAAGTAATGTTGTATCAGGGAACTGTTCATTTATTTAGCAACTTCTACAATAACCCATCACAAACTATTTTAAAGGTAACTTAAAATACAAAGCAACCTTACCAGTCCTTTAAAAGACAAAACCTAAATTACTAAGCAATATTTATCAGTACTGCTGAAAAGTTTGAGGAAAAAACCTGAACCATTACATACTTATTTTAAAAATAAATACAAATAATTTTGCTAATATTAAAGATAGGTGAATTATAATCTTGTGCAGTTTATCACTGAGAACAGTGCTTTGAGAACTTTATTTCCTAGTATATATTTCCTCATAGATATTTGCAAAATAGTTGGCTCTGAAATTAAGAACTTCGAGCTACTTTCTGTAGCTTGTGAAATTCAACTATATTTCTACTACACGCAGTTAGACATGAATCATCCAAAAGAATGTAATCTATCAGCACTGGGATACCAGCCCAAAGTACAGAAAAGCCAAAATTAACAAGAATTTTTTCCCAAGTTTCAAAATGCTTTTATGAATAGAACCAAATATTTCCAACACATTCTTCAGTATTGATATTAATGTAATGTACTTCATCTTTAATTTTTTTTAAGCAGGGCATGTATCCTATCATCCTCTATCTACTACATACCAAACACTAAGTACCAAATGCGTCTTCATATAAGAAATTACAGTCACTAAAACATTTTCTGGTGCATAAAATCAAAGGCAACTCATTTCCTCTGTCAGTTCTATTAAGAAACACCCGGGAAATAGTTATGATGCAGTATGTCCTAAGTTAAAATAAACTGAGTTTCTCTTAAGTCAAGAGTGGGAAAGTGAAGTTCTAGTGTTAAAAGGCCATCAGTGAAGTCACCGTGGTACACACTCCCATGTTCTATTATTACCAAGAACACATGACATCTAAGAAGCCTCAAAAAACATCAGTACAGCACGTTTTGTCATTTAAATTCAACTCTCTTATGTTGGTATTTACAACTAATTTTCTAAAGAATCTGAAGTCCTAAAAAGGACACAGCCTGCCTCACATTACAAGTAATATGGAGAAATACTGCTCTGTAACATGAGGCTCATGGATCACCCTGCACAAAGCAGTCAGCATCAAATTACTCAGAAAATAACACAGTAGGAAAAACTGTGTGCAGATGGCTAAATCTGACAGAAATAATCAGCTCTTTCACATTTAAAAATTACCAGGAATACTCTTGCCCTGGGTCTGAACTGGATATCCGTAAGAAACAAGCATCACAAGATTTTTAAGTCTGCAAACTTTGCAAAAGAGATTGTGTTAGGTGCCTGATAACAATGATGTCTAAAAAAAGGGAGGAAAGAAACAATTCTGGAGCACTGAATGATCCAACAGCTTTCTTCATAAACGATATAGAAAGAAAAGTTTAGATCACCCAAACACTTTTGAAAAAAAGCACAAGCACACATCTGGCAAGCACAGAAAATCAAACACATCTGAAGAAACTGCTCTAAAACGATGTCCAAAGGGACTACTTCTTGGCAGCTTATGTTACTTCCAAAGTTGCTTTTAAAAGAAAATTGACAGTAAAAATATTTTAACAGAAAATTACCACCATACTTTTCCAGAAGCTGGAGGCATATCCATCCAAGCATATCCATGAAACTTATAAATTCACTTGAACCCTCATGATCTATGAATTTACACAAAATCTGTGATTCTCCAAATATTTTAGCTCGTCTACTCCTGTCATGTCTTTATTCATTAACTTCAAAGGTGTATCAAGATGGAAGAAAGTTTGAAAATTTTATAACCCTGTTGAAAGTATTGTTGTTTAATGTATACTTACTCAATTCCTTTCCATCTTCAGATTTATAAAATATTGTATAGTTAGTGATAAATCCATTTCTTTTAGCCTTTGAAATCTCATTCCATTTTATTGTAACTTCATTTTTCCCCAGAATGCCTGTATCAGCCACAGGTCCTTCTGATGGCTCTAAAGAGAAGCATTATGAAATAGCAAAAGTAGTAAAATAGTCAGTGTACCACAGTGTTTATCCACTTCTGTTATTTTACACATACCAGTAGCATCAGGGGAAACATATGCATGAGAAAATATGTGACCTTAGTGCTCTGACAGAGTCCTGAACTTTTCCAATTCTCTTTAATTTAGGAATTTTTCTGATAAAACTTCCCTGCATCGATTCTGTCGTTTGCATGGTTCTAGGTGTTACTGTATTCAAATATCTTGAGATCATTAAAAGGCTCTATTGTTACAACATCAGAGAGAGATCAAGAGGAAAATTATCCTTTGTGCACTCATGGTGGGGGACTCAGGTGCAAGGCCACTGCCTTTGCAGAAGGTCTCTGGCTGGGACATCTCCAGCATCTCCAGCGTCCTCAGCCTTGCCCATCACACTAAACAAAGCCTTTCTGCTTACACAATACCACCTCACATGCATTGCTCATAACTTTGAAGAAAGAGTTCTCTCTGTTGCAGTTTTAAAACACAAAACGTCCTTCCCATTCTCTAATAACCTTGAGTGGTGTCACAGCTATCTATAAACAGGAAAGCACTCAAAACACAGTTCTGACTGTACTAGCAATTATTATTCAAACATAAAATACTCCACTGGCTCCCCCCAGTAATTAATGCTCTTTAGTGGTGCATTGTACTATGTGTGCATGCACATTTGCATAGACCTATTCATGCACACACACACCAATCAACATTTTCACATGGAATCTTAAAATTAATGGTAAACTACATTCTTATAGCTTGTTGTATAAATCACTGAATTCACAACAAACTTCCACAAATAAAGAAACTTTATCCCTTTCCCTGCAAAACACTACTTCATTCACAATTTCTACCCAATTACAAACGTCATGTCTTCTTACAATTTATGTGCAAGACTGCAAATATTTTATTACATTATAAAATTTAACAAAAAAGTAGGCTTTTCAAACTAGCCATTTTAAGAGTAGAATTTCCTCATATATTACGAGTGAAAAATGTAATCAAGCATTAAAATCAAGTATAATTATACATCTAAATGAACTGCAACATTCAAGAGAGAGCTAGTTTTAAAAATTATTTCATATTCATAGCTATACTCTTTCCAAATGCTTTGTATACAACACATAAATTTCACAAAATATTAGTGGGTGCAAGCAATGTACCTGTATCACAAGATAATACTTTCTTATAGACCAATTCTGTCACTGAACAGAAGAGAAATCAGGAACTCTGAAACCTGGAGTCTTTTATCCACTATCTTCATCTCTTTTTCCAATAATGGTAGTACCAAATCATTTAAAGATAATACATCCTGAGAAACGGACTACAACACATCTTCCACAACATGATTACTTTAAAATACCTACTTTTTTCTTGAACATAGATTTGTGTGTAAGATGGAGCTGCTACATTCCTTCCATAAAGAGGATACACTGAGATGTTATAGCATACAAATGGTTTAAAGTTTTCTATAAAAGAAAGAAAATAATATTTACATACAATCTCTATGTGATGTTAAAACAGTGAAAATAGACTAAATCACAAGGGAATTCTAAATATACTGTTACTGACTATTTTCTTCAACTCTTTAGCAAGAGCAATATGCTATTATTGATTTGAAAGCTTTTTACTGGCTTTAAAACATTTTTTCATAGTAGTTTTTGTACGAGCACATGGTTTCTGACTCATTTTTCACTACAAATAGTTTGAATGGGTAATTATACTTCAGCATCATACAACTTCTCTATATGAATCCACTTATTCATCTCAAAACACTCTATGGTTTTAGAGGAAGTCTCTATTTTCAAATAACCAGTATAAAATTACACTTGAAGGTAGTATTTTTAATTTCCCATATCTTTATGCTTACTGCTCTGCAGGAGACAACTCTGTCTTATCCATCAGGTTAAAAAGCAGTGGTGTTCCCCACTCTTAACACTCAGGACCTGAGGGAATGGCAACTGTGTCAGGGAGGCTTAGGTTGGATATTAGGTAAAGATTCTTCCACCAGAGTGTGTTAGGCCACTGGAACAGACTCCCCAGAGAAGTGGTCACAGCAACAAGCCTGGATAAATTCAAGAAGTATCTGGACAATGCTCTCAGGCACGTGGTGTGACTCCTAGGGTTTCCTATGCAGGGCCAGGAGGCAGACTTCAGTGATTCTTCTTGGCCACTTACAACTCAGAATATTCTATTATTCTATTATTTCTACACTGATGTTCCAGTCATGCCAACTGCAGATCCTCTTCTAACCAGCCTGACTCAAGGGTACGATTGCCCCAAGTGAGATCTCTCCAGCAGAACTGTATGTTTGAAGACATAGTTTCAGCTTCTGGAAATGAAGTTTTTAACTCTGAACAGTCCAGGAACTAAGCAATCAGCAGGGTGCACCTACTACTTACAGCAACTCCCATCAGCTCTGAAGAGGACATATCTGTAGCTTTACATCCCCTGGAATGAAACCTCCTCTCAAGCTCTGCAGCTTTCTCAGCAAGAATATTGGCTATCAACAGTTCCCTGAATTATATCAGCTTTCTGGTGTTCTTTCAGTCCCTTACAGCTATTGCAATGACCATTATCTATTCATTACTTCAGCTGGTTTTAGTTAGGGTAGAATTAATTTTCTTGCCAGTGGATGGCATGGGGCTGTATTTTGGATTTGTGCTGAACACAAGATTGACAATATAGAGATGCTTTTGTTTTTGCTGAGCAGAGCTCACACAGAGCCAAGGCTTCTCATACTGCCACACTGGTGAGGGGACTGGGAGTGCCTGGGAGGCTGGGAGGAGACACAGGTGACCCTAGCTGACCAGAGGAATATTCCATGTGACATCATACTCAGAATATAAAGTGGGGGAAGAAGGAAGAAAGGGGTGAACATTTGGAGTGATGGAGTTTGTCCTCCAAGGTCACCATTACATGTGACAAGGCCCTGCTCTCCTGGAGATGGCTGAACACCTGCCTGCCCATGGGAAGCACTGAATTCATTCCTTGTTTTGCTTTTTTGTGTGCAGGGCTTTTGTTTCTCTTATTAAACTGTCTTCATCTCAACCTATGAGTTCTCCTGCTTTTACCCTGCTGATTCTCTCTCCCTGATCTCACTGGCAGGGCAGTGAGCAGGCAGCTGTCTGGGCTTGGCTTCTGGCTGGGGTTAAGCCATGACAGTTCTTTTTGGGGAGCCAGGCAGGAGTCAAGCCATTGAGATAATGACAGATTTGATTGGTATGCACTAGACTGAACTCATAGCTGTTAGTGCTGTTCAGCTAGTGATAAGCAGGCTCCTGTGTTTGCCACAGGGCTCGCTTGCCTGATTGGGTATTAAAGTCTAGGACAGTGGGCACTTTTGGCTTTTGCTGCTTGCTCTAGTGCTGCATTGCTTAGCACCTTACTGATTTCTGCCTGATAACATTTTGATAACTTCCACGAGGATGTGCCTGGGCTGGCTGGGGCAGTGCTGCTGTTTCTGTGCTGATGTACTGGACAGGCTGGAACTCCAGCATGAACTTGAGCTGGAGGGATGTGTGAATGAGTGCACAGTGGAGCATCGACCTGCAGCCTGTGGAGGACTCCACACTGGCACAGGTGCATGCCTATTTAAAAATTGTCAGAGGAAAGCTGCATGAGTTCATCCTTGTTTGTTCTTTCCAATCTACCTATAAATACACGTACATCTGTACATTAGAGCTGTAACTGATAAACATACTTTTGTTATTTTTCCACTTTGTAGAATTTGATACATATTGCCACGATCTACCAAAAGGGTCCATCTCCAATTCCTCATACCACTCAACCACATATTTGGTTGTTTCTGGTTCAGAGGTTATCCATTCCACCACCACTTCTTCATTTGTTGTAGAAGCCATCACTGTTTCAATCACCTGAGAGGCTAAAATTTAACAGAAAATATCAGCAATTCAGTCTTCATAAAAGCTTGAAAAACACATATTCAAGAATTCAAGAACCAGTCTCTCTTTCAGAATTCAAATTTCCCAGTGTGTAAAAATTTACAAACCAAGTTACTACCAATTTTGCAGGTAGCTCATAAGCAACTTTGGTTGAGATGACAAAGGCAATATTATAGGAAAGCAAATCAGCAAGGTCAAGAATGGCACTGAAGCAAAGATGAACCATCAGCCTGCAGAATAGAGGTAATGAAAGTCTGAGTGAAAACCCAGCCTGGCAAAGAAGAGGCAAAAAAGATCTGATGAAGGAGAGAAAAAGAGAGATGTATCTGGTGTGAGGAAAGCACATCACAGTGTGATAAAAACAGAAAAACCTTTGTGGTGGGATGCAAAAGTGGGCAGGGAGGTAGCAAGCAACATCTAGAACAAAATTACATTAAATCTACATATCCAGTTTTCTGATTAGAAATGGAATTTGATTGAGCAGTTCCAGGGAGACACTTGCACTTACATCATGAACAACTGATATTAGAAGTGATTCAAGTGTGTCAAATGCAACGTCTCTGTCAGATCATGACTGGCAGCATGATGTTGCAATACAAGGCTCAAAGCAGTATCAGAATTAAACATAACAGCCAAAGAGCAACTCCTGTGCTAGAGCAGACTAGCTTCCTAACCCTGGCAGTGGGTGGGATGGGTACTCTGGGAATGCATGTGAAATGAGAATAAACACAAGGCTTCTCTTCCTGCATCCACTAACACAACTTGGAGACTTCTATTTATCATATGTTTGAATGATGTTGTTGAATATTCTGCAATAGTACCCTGTGGTAAGCAATCTTATGGGCTAACAAAGGGATGCAAAAGAATTGGGTAACATTCCGTAAATTTATTTGAGAGGTGCAAATTTAGGAAAAAACCTAAACCAACTAAAAAAACCCTCAGAAAGTAATACAATAGAAATTCATTAAGACATCACAAAGTATTCATATCTTAACAATTGTATCTCAAGACAAAACCCCCAACAACAATTGATCCATGATGGCAAAATATTACAAGATATACACAGATATATATGACAGAAATCCTTAGCCCAATTTTGCTTCCACTGTATCAGAACTTAAACAGATGTCATGAAAATCACTTTTTCAATAATGAGAAAAATATGACATTGAGAAATCTTACATTTTTCATCAATGGATGGAATCCTCAAAATAGCTTCAGGAGACTCTCCAGCAGAGTTATAAGCAGTGACAGATATTATATGTGCCTCTTCATTTAAAAGTAAGGTGATTTTCTTTTCAGTAGAGTTGTTTGTCCTTTTACGCACAGAAGTCTTTTTTTCTGGAAAATACTGTATTTTGTAGCCTAGAATTCTCCCAGAAGGTGGAAAGCTTTTTAACGGCTGTTAAAAATATATACAGTAGTAAGTGTTTGGCAGTGTTATTTGCACAAGCAAAAATATATGCTGTATTAAATATCAAATTACAAAACTACTATACTGTATTTAGAAAAGCAAATTATTTTCTTCAGACCCATCTTCAGGACAGACAGGCAGAACAATTTACTTAATGGATTTCAAAAGTCAAATGCTGAGATTTGAAATGCAAAGAGCCTTTGGACACTTCACTAGAAGATTAAAGTGAATTTAAACACAGCTTTGGTAAACTGGATTATCTAAATGCAGTTTAAGGACTTTGAGATTTTCCAGTGATCTGAACACAATTAAAATTCACTTTCCACATAGATTACAAAACTCTATTAATCTACCATTCAGTAAACAAAAGCCTTTTCAATTCTAATTTAGTGCAGTGAGAGTTTTGCTGTTTTTTTCTGATAACAGCAAATGCCTCTGGCAGTTATATGTTCTACAACACTAAAATACTTATATACAACATGAGCTACAGGATACCAATATGACTATAAATTCACAAAAAATGTATATACCTTCCACATAAGATGCACAGATCTATTTCTAGATGAGTGTGAAGACTCAATTACTCTCCATAAATCCACTTTTCCTGAAGGAGCTATTTAAAGAACAAAAAAAACCCTTGTAATTTATTGCTATATTAAAAAGATAGCTTAATATGGTGAAAACAATCAAAAGGTTTCTCTAATATGGTGAAAATAATCAAAAGGTTTCAAACATAGAGTGTCAGAGAAACTTACTAAAAGTAAGTTTTCTCTTCTGTAGTGCTATGCCTTTGTTCCCCTAATTAGGTACGTCTTCCTTTCCATAAGTTTCTGCTGCTTGCTTTTATTTGTTAAGTTCTAGAGTCTCCTAAAAGATATTTTCTAGTCTTGTTTTATAACTGGCATTTTGATTTCTCTACTTATAATTTATGTAATTGAACATACACACTTCATTACTTTTCTGCTATTATCTTACTTTGCATTGTTAAATCTTGATCTACACTCTTAATTTTCCCTCTCTTCACTGTCTACTCATCTGTTTTCTTCCTTAGCCCTATGTTGTTTCAATCACTTTTCAAATATCCTCCAATAGCTGCTGTTGTCTTTCAGTTTTCCTCTTCTGTCTTTAAACAAAATACACGTGTTCTGTTTAAGCAACAGAATTCAAAGAGGATAATACATAGAATCACAGTTTTTTCCTACTAAATCCTAACGCCTCAAAATGTAACAGAAGAAAACTTTTACAGGTAGGCAGCTTACCTTTTTCTTCTGTGCTTCCATTTTTCTCTCCACTCCATCCACTCCAAAATGCTGACTCATTATTGATACACCGAATGGCAACAGAATAATCTGTGGAGTCCCACAGACCTGTGAGATTACATGATCCTATAGCCTTCTTAGAATTCAGTGAGACATTGACAAATTCCTGAAAATAAATATATGAACAAAAATTATTTTATATAAAATTGTATGCAGATATATGACTTATTTTCTTTAAAAACCACAATAGATGCAGTTTTTGTGTATCTCACCTCACTCTTCTGAAACTCAAGATTGCTTGTTTTATACTTCATTTTTCTGTATAGCACTTTTGTTCTTCCCGTAAAACTCCAGGGTGTGAAAAACTTGATCCCAAACTAGTTCTCTACTGACTAACCTGTGGCTTGAACAGTGTGCAGCTCAGATGTCATTCTGGAGCAGCTGTGCACAGAAGCTGCTGGAGGAATGCAATTCCCACTGGTGGGAAGCAAGCGGTTATTGCTAATGCTATCACTACAACAATGTCTCAACTGCATCCTGGGGCACGCAGTGATTCCCCCACAGTTTGTGAGTCAGATGGGTATTTGTTTCCGGTCTTGTTTATCTTTTCTGAGTTACAAAACCTTCTAGCTCTTAGCCTTAAGAGCTGTGGGCTGTCCCAAAGATTATCAGCATAGTATTAAAATGGAAAGGCTAACGAAAAGACAAAAAATTCTGGTACCAAAAGGTAAAAAATAAGATGAAGCATGTAAGTGGTGGAGGAAGATGGAAGTATGAGAAATAAATGATGTGGTATCTTTTCAGAAAACTAATGACAATGTGAGTAATTTCTTTATCTTAAAATAGAGCCTCATTCACTTCAACGCTCACAACAACAGGGCTAAAACACAGTGAAGAAATTCTTTGCTTCCATCAGTTGAAGCTTTCAATGAAAAGTGAATTAGTCTATAACAATGCAGACTGTATTGTAACAATCTAAAACAACTACAACAAATGCAGGCATCCAGTCATATGAACACTATAATGGGACGTGCACTTCCTAATGTAACTGAAGATTTTAGTCTGTTCTGATCTCAAGAAACTCACTGTCAAAAAATACCTGCTTCTACAAGAATGGATTCAGGGCTCTCTAAACCATTGTAAGTGACAGATTCTGCAGCAAATCTACAATACAAAGGGCTCAAAACTATTATCAAACTTTGGAAGAGCCTGACATAGAATTGGAGATACCTCATACTAGATTTTAGTTACTTTGCTAAAAGGCTGTTACCAATATTGCATTATAATTAGAAACTTAGAAATTTAGTATATGCAAGTACAAAACCAGTAAAAACAGTTCACACCAAAATATTTAGACTGGTTTGGTCAGGTGACTTTAAAGGACAAGAAGATATTTGTCATTTGCTCAAACATCTTTTAGTTAGGCTTATTTGGGGATTGGTTTTGGGTTTGTGGGTTTTTTTGCATATATGTGCTGACAGAGAAATAGCTCCTATGTCTTTACTAGTCATGGATAGCTTCTGTTTCTCCTGGAATGTGAAAGGCAGGTGTGAGCTGAGGAAGCAAATGGACATAGACTGTATTTGATAGCAAGAAAACCAGACAGGTGATTTCAAATGCAGGTGCTGAAAAATAGATACAATGCACAATAAAGCCATAGCCCTCCAAGGACTACGGGGTCCTGTCTAAATGAAAACACTTGGAAAGGACCTCATAGCATTTAAGTGTCACAAGGACACCAGTGCCTTGGCTCTAAAAGGATAAACATTTCAAATAGGTCTTTTACACAGTCATTAGTTTCATTTCTAATACCTGACCTGGACCTGAACCATCTTGCCCATCCAATTATCCTGAATATTATATTCTGAATCCAAGAACTAGTACATCATATTAACAGTAATGATGCTTGAGAATGTGAGAAGGATGCTAGTTAGAAACATCTTTAATATTAGAAACTTCTTAAAGCTGCAATGACTACCTTGATGGATTTTTCTCTCCCCAAATTATACGTATAATGCATAAAATAGTAAGATCAAGGCAGATATCTCAGTTCAATGAACTTAAAAAAACAATCCAAGAAACTTGGCCAGTTCTTTAGTTTGGAAGAAGAAACAGTAAAACTACAAACACAATCCCTTCTATATTGAGGACCATAGGAACAGGTCATCTGAAATATGAAAATACTGGGGTTTTTTACAACTATTCCATTTACGTGTCAGAAAGAGAGACTGAAAAAATAACTTCCCTTATTTTCCATCTTGCAAAATCCATATTTTCATTCACTGTGAAATAAATTTGACATCATTCCATCTTAATAAGATACAAATACTGTGGTTCTGAGTGAGTGCGGTTTTCAACATCAGAATGCAAGGGAAAAATAAAATATTGTTACTGACTGCATGTGTAATCTCTTGGCCGGGGTCATCCCTCATCGTTCCACAGAATAACACTGAGAAGTATGATATGTACCATAACAGATAATGACCAAAAGAGAAAGGACAATTAACCCAAAACCCAAACAGTGCTCTTAAGATCATGCACCCTGATAACACTCCACTAAAATAACATTATCATCATTATTTCAAACAACTTGTTATCTTTTTTCTATTTAAATTCTTATAATACTAAGAAGTTAGTCATAAAGAAACTGGCATGCAAAAGAAGAATAATATAACTTACGGTAAAGTTTGAGTACAAGTTTCTGTATTGAACCTGGCAAATTATAGGTTTTAAAGGGATAATCTTCTCAGGCATTTTCCAGGTTACCGTAAGTAACTGCTTTATACCAGGGATTTTTTTAACTGAAAGTATTTCAGGAGGGGCAAATTTCTCTAGAATGAAGAAATAAAAACATTAAGAGAAGAAAATGCTTCTATAAAAGTTCAGAAATTTTCTGTCTGTGTGTGTTCCAAGAAATTAAATCCTTATTTCAATAACATACATCCTATCAGAGTATTCATGTGACAGTTTATTTTAAAGACATAATTCTACATATGGGAAACTATATTCAAGGGAATTTGCACCCATAACTGATTTAATTACATGGGACTTTGAACAACTTGGTCTAGTGGAAGGTGTCCCTGCCCACCCAAGCCTTTCTATGATTCTGTGATTCTACTCACAAACCTCCTCTCAAATAGATGTGCAGATATCTTTCATTTGTATCAGCACTGAAAAATATTACCCAGAGAAAACAGCAGGAAAAACAAATTAAGCAGAGCTGGGATGTCAAAGACAAGACTGAACAGCAGATGAGGAAAGAATTCAGCTGAAAAGGATCTGTGGGGGAGAGAAGTGTAAAGCAGATGATGGGAAAAGAATGGACTAGCAATGAAAAAGATATGTCTGAGAGAGAATGTGAAGAGTAATGAGGAGTCAGGGCAGGTCTGAACACAGGAATAAAGGATATAATTGATGATTAGTGCTGCAGCAAAAAGTAGTCAGTTATAAGGGTTACTGATTAACTACACCACCAAAAAAAGAGGAGAAGCCCAGGACAGAGGGAGAAGAGGTAGACAAAGTATTATTATTGTTCCTGTATGCAATCATTACTGCACATAGAACAGGTGGGGTTTTTCAACATTCCCAACCAGAAAGCAGAATATCAGAGCAAATGGTTGATGGCCCTTGAGAAATTATAGTATCACTATTCATTACAGCCAGGTGTTGCTCTGATACTTGGTACCACTCAGAAATTAGAGTCCAAGTACCAATTAGGTTGATTAGAAGTTTTAATACATGGCCTTTACTTATCAATAATTAAAAACTTAGTAATTTATAATGGATGTTTCAGACGTTAGCTTAAAGAAATACTGTTGCAGTTACATGCTGCATAGCATGAAAACAACATCCTGACCACCTCACAGTAAGATCAAGAAACTGCTGAAAATTGCTGCTCTAATGCCAACCAGTTTGGAGAATTTTACAAGGAAAGGTCATAAATTAAATCGTTATTAATTCTTTTTTAATTACCTATTTTTTGCAAAGGTATAGGAATACAGTCTGTTGAGGATTCACCCAAAACATTTTTAGCTTTCACCTGAAAACAAAAATCATTACTATAAGCATTGGATGGAGGAAAAAATGAACACGATTCTGTTGCATTCTGGCAGGGTGTGACTGAATATGGAGAATGCGTCCTAAAAAGAGAAAAACAGAAGTAGTTAGAAACTAGAGGAATTTCTTCGAATAATTCAAATAAATTGTTAGGTTATTATTTATATATCTTTGAGGTTGCAAGACTTTGTTACTAGTGAACATCTTTACACACCACGTTTGTGCAAACTAATTTCCTAATTTCCGTGCCCCCTTGTACCAGTGCTTTTGTAGTCACATGCTAAACTCAGCTGGATTTGCCTGGAAACAGTTCTACAACCCAATTCACTTTGTGGTTAATAGAAAGTCCGTGCTTATTCAGGAAGAAATAATATTGAAATGTGCTTTACAAATGCAGCTAAGTTATAAAATATAGAAACACCAGAAGTAGTAAGAAATTTCCATATTAAAAAGATGGAAGCCTAAAATGTCAAAGCTAAAATGGAGATAAAACTAGAGAGGTTTTCCTACCCTACAATTTAAATTAAAAAGATATTATATACTAGTACAATATGAAAAAGTACCCCTCCATAGTCTGAATTCCTTCTCATTCTCAAGGATAACCTTAGGCATTTTAGAAAACTTTTCATGAAACAATATTACCTGGAGTCTTGGTTAGGCAGAAAAAGAGCACTACTAGAAGCAGTACTATGAAGGACAGATTGACAAGTGCATCTGGGACAAATCTGTGTTATCACCCTCAAAATCCTATCTGAGATCTGCCTTGGAACAACACTGATTTCATAATTTTCACAGTCACTTATGAAAAAGAAAGCTCCTAACCAACATTTAAAATCTAATAGAAATGGAAAGAAGCACAAGTATCTGTGCTTCTACACTGAAAAGCATGAGATCAAATAATATGTATTTGTAAACAGAAATCCCTAAGATATCCAAAAGGACAACTTTGGATTTTTTCACTGAAACCTTATGACTCCAAGGGTCACTAGGCTCACTGCTACTGGAATCAAGTAGAATATAAAGCAGTGGCTAAATGAATTTTGATTGGAATTTTTTTAAGCAGATGAGGAAAAAATCTTTTTTATGCACCCAAAATGAGGTTAGTTCATTACATAGAAAGTTGCTGGGAAACTCTGCCATAAAATGCCTCCATTCTCCATTCGTGTATATGGTCACTCAACTTTCAATCTTATTAGTAAAATTACTTCAAAGGAGCAAGTGAATATCAGCTCTGGTGTAAATATTTCTCTATTGAAGATTGGTTGAGAATGCTTATTTCCTTTATACAGCACACTAAAATGATATCAGACTGCAAGTATTTTCAACAATTACCAATTCTGATTTAATCAATTTAAATTAGTGAGAAATGCCAAGACTCCAGGCTCCATGATGATTTAAGGTCTTCTTTAAACAGAAGTCAGGATGAGAAAGGAAGAGAGCTGGTTGTCATATCCCAGCAACCCAGTGCCCAGTATCTCTAGTACTTACAGGTTTCGGTAAAGAGTATATTTTGTTGTAAAACTTGTTTCTCTTCCTGCATTCCAGGTACAGGTAAGGTTAGCATCGTAGAAATAAATGCAAGAAATATTTTCTGGTATGTCTGGACGAACTACAATGACAGAGGGTTAAAAAAAATCCATTAAAAGTAAGTAACTTTATGTACACCTGATTTTGTTGGTCAAAAAGTAATTACGGCAAATTTCATTGAGTGTCTTCAGAGTGCTTCATTTTATCATCCCTCACTGCCCTCACAACACCAAAATCAAAACCACTCAACCACTCTTTCTTACCCTGAGAAGACAGAGATTTTCTCCAACTATTTCTCAGAAATACTTTCTTAGTGTGCCTAAAGGCAGTAACTCTGTAACTATCATATATCAAACCACTGCATATACTGTCTTGAAAATCTAAGCATACACACACCCTGTTTCCCTCCTGCAACACAACTGTAGTTTAAGGTGAGTCCAGAAAGTGAGAGGAAAACAAAAAACAGCAAAAGCACCAAAAGACGTATTCTCTGACAGACACAACTCCTTTCAGTTCTTTCCCAGAATATCTAATTGTTTACCCTACGAAAAACCCGAATCTGAGAAACGTGTGCAGCCTCAAGAGTGCAGAAGACAAGTTCCTGGGAAACAGATCTACGTGACCTCAAAGAGATCACTAATTCTGGACTTTCCTTATCTTATAAGCAAGACAGCACAAAGGAAATGATCTTCTGCAATCTCTATAGTCTGAAGTCGTCCATTAAAATGTAACACACTGAAAGACTTCTTTGTTACAGCTCAATTTCTTCACTGGTTAGAAGAAATTGGAGTAGAAAAGAACTGTGTGCAGTGAAATAAACTAGTTGAAAAAGCCCTCTTTTCAAAACTGTATTTTTCTGTCCTAATAGAATTGTCAAAAGATCTTTTATCAACAAGCTTACAGCACATTAACTCTGCAGACAAGCAAGACCTTCTGCTGGATTTTTTTCTACAGATATTCTGGTTTTTATTGCTTTTTTATTAGAAGGGGACCCCCAGGCATATGGTAGTATAATCTGGATTTAATCGGTTCAATAAATTAGAGAAATCATATACATATTTTCATGTTCTCCATAAGAGAGTGTAATTATAATTTCTTTAGAAGAGAGGATTAGAGAGTAAATCCTCTCTGGAGAAAGCGAAAGTTGGCTATGCTAGAAAGATATAACCAAAGGGACAGACCCACTACCTTTGGAACTCAACAGAAAAGTTCAGCTGAGCAAAAGTCAGGGTCAGAGAGGTTACAGACCTGTGTCAGTAAGGAATGCTGGTAATTTCAGGCTTTAGTTAAGAAAAAAAAATAGATAGATAGATAGATAGATAGATAGATAGATAGATAGATAGATAGATAGATAGATAGATAGAGTTGAATACATGTGTTTTAAAATGCCACAACCAATAGTAGCTGTTTTAAAAGTAAAATTATTATAGTAAGTTATTAAAAAATGCTGATTATTTTTTCTGCCCTTCTACTTACACCCAGATTTAACTTCTGTGCGAGCCAAAGGTAGCTCCTTGTCCAGGTGCTTCATGAAACAATTCACATAAGCTGTGCTGTAACTGAAATTATGGATGGTTATATTAGATACAGTTTCATTCACAATGATATAGTTTTCTGGAGCAATCAATGTATCATTCAGTTTCCAGATGATGTGGCTTGCATTTCTCTGATGCATGTAGTTCTTTCTAAGAACACAGGATAGTTCCAGGGAGGATCCTCTTTCAATTGCAGGAGATGAAGGAAAAATGTCAGCATCTCTGATAGAGTTTTCATCTAAAAACAAAATCAAAGACACCACATAGCCATATTCCTCTTAAAATACTAATGGAAAAATGGTAACTTGTTTTGTTGTCTGCAGATCATTAATTTTTTTTTCATGTAGAATTCATATAAAATATCCAGTTAGTCATTCAAATCAGACACTGATGTTTGAAAATGCAGTTCACATTAATTACTGTATTACAATACAGTATTACATTAGAGTGATGTTTCAACAACTTCACAGAAATAATGAGGACGTTTCCACTCAGACATTTTTTTAATAGCCCCAAACGAAGAAGAGAAAGTCTTGTACTTTAAGCCTGTTTTTACAAAAACACTCCTGTTTGTAAAAGATATGCATGCAATTTACATGCATTTATCATTACTACTTACAATATCAAAAAATACATGAAATTAGTAAGGCTAAAATTTACAACTAAGCTGCAATAGATTTTAGAAGTCTTCAAAATTTTATTTCGAGAATGTTACCTTTTGGAAAATTTTTTTATGGCAAGACAGGTGCTAATAATCCAGAAGCATACCTGCTACAGAGCAGCAGAGCAGGACAAACATCCAAATCAAATTGCTCAACATTTCCTTCTCAGTAAGTATGGGCAGAAAACGCTGTCATAAAATAAAAACAATGGTTTTTATTTTTAAAAGTAAAGTGAAGATACCCTTTTAATACTTTGTTAGCATTTGTATATGAGTTAATAATGTTATTCAGCTTTTCTCACTTGTATTCAAGTGAAGTATTGCTTGTCTAAGGGCTACTTTCCTGAACAATGGAGAAATTTGATGCAGTTTTACTAAGACAAGTTGCATACATTTCCTATAACAAAGAGAAAGATACGTGGACCTAAAACACTGCTGAGGGCAATCCAATCCACACAAGTGTTTTCCCTTGCAAGGACCATGTAAATAACTGGTAAGAAATGTATCTCCATTCACTTGACATTCAGCCTCCCAGTCTTTTCTTTAAGCAGATTCATCTAGCAAATTCTTTTGAAAATGAAAGCTGTTGTTGGAGAAGGAATTATCTGCCTATCTTGTTCATCACTACCTAAAGAAATTGTTCAGGAAGTGGACAACAGTCCAGGTCACCTTTCACTCAAAAGAGGGTGAATTAATATTGTTTTTTTCCCGATTAAGTGTCCCTGGCAACATACCCGAGTGCACTCTGCAAAGACAAAGGCAATGAGAGGTGCCTTCCTTTCTTTTCGAAAAAAACAACTACAGAACTACTGTGCAGCCAAGAAATCTCAGATTCTAGGTTAACAAGGAAGAAAGCAAAGTAGTAGGCTGATTTCTTCTAAAAGGACAGATGAATCTAGGGTTCCGTAAGAAAATATTATAAAAAAATCAAACACTCTCCTTGCCTGTAGGGTGTATGTTCTTGTTCTCAAAGAAGTAAAGATGAATTACACAATTGATGGCAATTAAAAAAACAGTAGTTGTTCCAAGTATTCTGTACCAGCACAACACTAGAATATTTTCTCATTGCCCTTGAAACCCCTGGTTAGATTTAATACTACCAGGACTTTTAGCCTTTCTAACTTACTCCCTGGCTGCTCCTTCTATTCCTCCCAGGCTACTTGTCCCTGTTTCCACCCTGTACATACCTCCTTTTTGTGTTTGAACTCATCCAAGCAGGCCTCCCTGACCAACTTCGTCTTTGTTGGAATGCATCAATCCTGAGCTTGAGGAAGACGATCCTTGAATATCACACAGATTTCTTGGGCCCCTCTCTTCTCCAGGGCTTTATCCCATGGTATTCTACCAAGCAAAGAAGAGGCCACAGTCTGCTCCTCTGAGTCCAGGATAATGAGCCTATTGTCCTTGCTGCCCTTGATAGCATAGGGTTAAAATGTTTCTAAAATCAAGGGAATTGCATACAATAGATTCAAGGAGTGGAAAGAAAGGTTGGGTCTGGTAGGCCTGGGAAAGGGAACTAGGCCCTGGGAACGAATATTGAGCTTTGGTTTTTTTTGTATATCATATGAAGCTACACCTGCGTAATCATCGTATGATAAATGGTATGACTGTTAAATATAATGATTGTTTGGTAATTGAATAGAATTATATTTAATTGCAATAAGAATCATGAGAAACAATGTAATCATAACAAGAATCATGAGAAAGGATATTTGAGGGGGGCCTAATCAATGTATACAATACCACAGAACAATGTATACAATAGAACAATATGGGTTTAATAATTATAGTTACATAACGAAAAGCGTATAAAAACATGTCCATCTCTGATCCATGTCAGAGTCAGATTTGGGTCTGCACCCCTGATTCCCAGCATTTCACAGTCATGGCAGTCAAGATTGCCCCTGAGCTTCGCCTTCCCACCAGCCCCTCCCTGCTGGTGACAGCACAGTCCACCATAGCCCTTCTCCTCATTGACTCCACTGTCACTTGGAAGTTACAACCAATACATTCCAAAAACCTCTTGGAGTGCTTATGCCCAGCTGTATTGTCCCTACAACAGATAGATACTGGGGAGGTTGAAGAGCCCCATGAACACCAGGGTTTATGAACACGAGGCTGTTCTATAGAGAGTCTCATCTGCTCAGCCTTCTTGGTCAGGTTGCCTGGAGCAGATCTGCATTATAATGTCCCCTGTCCTCACCCTCCGTTTAACCCTGACCCATCACCTGTCTGTGAGCTCCTCACCCACCCCAGGCACAGCTCTGTGCTCTCCAGCTGGTGTCACTGACATAGAAGGTGACACTGTTTCCTCATCTTCCCTGCCTGCCCTTCCTAAAAAACCTATATCCTTCCACTCCAGCACTCAGGCCACAGGAAGCATCCCACCTCATCTCCACCATGCCAAGAAAATCACAGCCCCGCAGGCACATGCGTGTCTCTGACTCCTTGTTTATTCCCCATAATAAGAGATAAAGCTCCTGCTGATGTGGATTTGCTGTTTTTGAGGGGATATGAGACAGAAGAGGCTGCATAAGAGCCAAAATAGTTCAGTTGTTTCCAAGAATAAAGCAAACAAGTTTTTTATAATATTCCTTCAACTAGCTCCAGCAATCCCATACGTTTTTAGGAAGGAATTCGAACTCAGAAGCATTGGCAAATCATGAAAACATTTTTGAATAATTTTTAAGCTGAAAATACCACATATACTGACATATCCCACAACAGTGGAGCACAGCACTGCACGAACAGGCATGCACAAACTGGCTGCAATGCCAAGTTAGAAGCCTTTGAAAAATTCTAGTTTCACACATACACCAGGGAGCTTAAATAGCTGAAGATTCCATCCACACTCAGTGGGTGTTCCTCATCCTGTATCCATCCAGTACCTCTTCTAGCCTTCCTCTAGTACTCAGCCACACAATAAGTCACTTCCGCTTGGCAAAATAGCAGACAACTGAGAAAAAAAAACTATAAAAAATGTAAGCAACTTGCTACATGATCAGACAGGCATTTGAGTTGGTGAAATAGAGGAGAGAAATGGGGACTCTCAGTGAAATAGAGGAGACCTCCGTGACTTTTCCCAGATGTGAGCTGTTAATTTGGTTCACTGCTCCTGCTTCTGCTTTCTCCAGTATCATTTAGCAGCTGTTTATTTGACATGGCAGCTGCTGGTTACTACCTGCCAGAAACCAAGGTAGTGACTCAGCAGGTCACAATGCTGCTCAAATCTTATGTGCTTGTCAGGACATTGATACATGATACAGGATAAAATAGCTCTTTGGCTGTTTACTGAAGAGGTTACATATGTAAAAGTGATGAAAGAACGTGCCTGAGTGAAAACTACACCGCATTTGCATACGTGTTTCACTTAAAGATGCTTATAAAAGCTGAATTCTGATGACTTAACAAATATGAACACAAGTCTTCTTCAAGTGATTAAAAAAATGATTCACCAAAGTCAGACTTTTCCCCATATTGTATTTAAGACCACTTCTTAATTGCCCTTCTTCCCCATTTCAAGACATGAAGCCTTTTTCCATTCAGATCCAACTCTAAGATTGTTTTTAATTACACTAACTAAATGCTACTTTACATTAACTACATGCTACTACTGTACACAGTGTAGATGTTACACCAAGAATAAAGAACATGCCACATCTATAAATGTAAAGACAGCATGTTATAGAGTCATAGAATCACAGAATGTTAAGGGTTAAAAGGGATCTTGAAGACCTTTTAATCCTAACCCTCCCTTCCATGTTCAGGGACACCACTAAGTAGACCAGGTTGTTAAAGGCCCTATCCAACCTGGCCTCAAATACTTCCAGGAATGGGGCATCTACAACATCTTCTTAGCAACCTGTTCTAGTATCTCACCACCCTCACAGTAAAGAATTTCTTCCTAATATCTAAGTAAATTTCCCCTCATTCAGTGTGTACCCATTCCTCCTTTCCCTGTCACTCCAGTTCCTGTCAGAGAATCCCTCTCCAGATTCCCTTTAGGCCTCTTCAGACACTGGAAGGTGTCTATGAGGTCCCACAAAACTTTCTCTTCTCCAGGCTGAACTGCCCCCCCTTGCTCAGCCTACCTTCATAAGGGGAGGTGCTCCAGTCCTCTTATCAACCTCTTGGCCCTCTTCTGGACTTGCTCTAACAACTCCTTGTCATCATGCTGGGCACCCCAGAGCTGGATGCAGTGCTCCAGGTGGGGTCTGAGCAGAGCAGAGCAGAGCAGCACAATCCCCTCCCTCAATCTGCTGGCCATGTTCCTTTGGATGCAGCCAGGATTCCCTTGGCTTTCTGGGATGGGAGCACTCACTGCTGACTCGTGGTGAGTTTTTCATCAGCCACACCCCCGAGTCCTTCCCCACAGGGCTGCTCTCAATCACTTCTCTGCCCAGCCTGTGGGTGTGTCTGGGATGGCCCCAGTGCAGGTGTAGGACCTGGCACTTGGCTTTGCTGAACTCCCTGAGGTTTGCATGGTCCCACCTCTCAAGCCTGTCCAGGTCCCTGTGGATGCCATCTCTTCCTTCCCCTGTGTTGAGTGCCCCATTCAGCTCAGTGCCATCAGCAAATTTGTTGAGGGTGCCTCGATCCCACTGTCCATGTCACTGACAAAGGTGTGGAACAATATCAGCCCCAGGACTGACCCCTGAGGGACAGCACTTGTCACTGGTCTCCATGTGGACAATGAGTTATTGACCACAACTCTGTGTGTGTGGCCATCCAGCCAGTTTTTATCCACTGAGTGGTCCATTCATCAAATCCAGATCTGTCCAACATAGAAACAAGGATTGCAAATGGGACAGTGTCAAATTTTTTGCTTAAGTCGAGGTATACAATGGGAATTGCTCTGCCCTTGTCCACCAAAGCTGTAGCATCCCATCAAAGAAGACCACCACATTTGCCAAGCATGGTTTGCCCTTAGTAAAGCCATGTTGGTTGTCACCAATCACCTCTTTGTTTTCCATGTGCCTTAGCATAGTTTCCAGGAGAATCTGCTCCATGATTTTTTCTGGCACAGAGGAGAGACTGGTCTGCAGTTCCACACAGCTTCTGCATTCCCCTTTTTTAAAATGGGGGTTATAGTTCCCTTTTTTCAGTCATCAGGGACATCATTTGATGGCTGCAATTTTTCAAAAATTATATATAGTGGCTTAGCAGCTTCTTCTGCCACCTCCCTCAGGACCCACAGATGAATCTTATTGGATCGCATGGATCTGTGCACATTCAGGTTCCTTAGATGGTCTCAGACTTGATCCTCTCCTACAGTGGTTTTAATGTCTTCATTCCCCTAGTCCCTGCATTTGCCCTTCTCAACTTGATTGACATGGCTGGAACACTTCTGGTGAACACAGAGGTTGAGAATCCCAGCCTTCTCTTTGCCCAGGGTATCCATGTCTCCAATTTCCTTTTAAAGAGAGCCCACATTATCCCTAACCCGTCTCTTCCTTGCAACATATCTATGGACACAAGGTGCACAGTGCCCAGCACAGGGGGACAATCCCTGCCCTGCTCCTGCTGGCCACACTATTGCTGATCCAGCCCAGGATGCCATTGGCCTTCTTGGCCACCTGGGCACACCCTGGCTCATGGTCAGTCACTGTCACCAGCACCCCCAGCTCCTTTCCAGCCACTCTGTGCCAGCCTGTGGCACTGCCTGGGCTTGTTGTGACCCAAGGGCAGGACCTGGCACTTGGCCTTGTTGAACCTCACACCATTGGCCTCAGCCATGATCCAGCCTGCCCAGATCCCTGTGCAGAGCCTTCCTGCCCTCCAGCAGATCAACTCCTGCCCGACTTGGCTTCATCTACAAACTGACTGAGGGTGCCCTTGGATCCCCTTGTGAGGATCATCAATAAAGACACTGAACACGATGGGGCCCCATGGTGAGCCCTAGGGAAGCTCATTAGCAACCATGTGCCCACTGGAGGGTTTTCTACATTGGTCAGAGAAGACAATGACGCATAAACATAATGGAAGAAGCAGTAAATTTGAGGGACAGCTAATGGGGTTAACTCTTTAACCTATATGACTTATGCACTGACAAGCCCATCCATAGGAAAAATGACAAACACTGTGATGAAAGATCCTGGGTACACTGATTTCATAATCCACAGTCTTCAACTGAGCTAAAAATAGCCAGTTGAACCTCAGAGCAGGATGAATAGAATTTTAAACATTTACCTTTAAATATAACTTGAACAAAACAGGTGTTAGATGCACTTTCTTCTAGAAAGTAAACCTATATGTATTTTAAATTATGATGGCCGACCAGGAAACTTAATGGTATCATAATCTACTAACACCACTTAAAGTAAATAAATTCAAACAATGCATATCTATTCAGAAAACTACTAAGCTTACAGACATATCTGCAGGAGCCACATGGTGAGGCACTCAAAATAGTGAATCGACTGTTGACCACAGAAACTTGTTCTAAAAACACAGTAATGTTAAAAAAAAAAAAAAAAAAAGGAATCATCATCACATAAAACAAGTTTTTAATTTAAAAACTTCAAACCAACTGGAAACTGAAAAAGCAGGAAAACCATTTTTCCTCTTTCAGTCTCTAAATAGCAAATGTAGGCACAAAAGGAGATACTTTTGTTCTAAAATTCTGAAGGACATAGTGACCAGGAAAAGTCAGTTCTGCTAATAACTGCTGATAACAGTTATTTTGCTTAGTACACCCTGGAGTTACAGATGCAAAACATGTTTTGAGAAACCTTTTGTTTTCTTATAAAACAGCACACTGAATATTCACACATTATAATATAAATTGCGGTTACATTGGAATTTAAATCAAATTTTAACTACATGAGCTTGATACTAATAGGAAAAAATAGAATATAACTCATTATTCTCTGAACAAGCATAACAAATAAGCATCTATATAAATCTTAAGGTATAAAATGCTCAGATAGATAAAAAAGCTGCAAAACAGGTATTCTTTTACTAATTAATGTATTGTACCTTGTTGCGTTTCCTAGATGCATTGTAAATGGTACATTCCGTGACCCCTGCTATGCCCTGTAGCTTGGTCCCTCTCCCCTCCTGGCCATACAGGGCTGGCCGGGATCCAATTTCTCCCTGCCCCCCTTTCCAGACCCTAGAAAAGGTCAGTACCCCCTGGCCTCTGTCTCTTTTCCCCTCTTTTTTCCCCCTCCCTCTTTCCCTCGCTACCCACGAGAAATAAACCCTGTAACTTCATCAGGGGAAAGAGCCTCCTTTGTTATCTTATTTACGTCCATGAGGCAAGGGCCCAGGGAAACTTCACCCTAACACCTGAGCTAGCCCGGAGGAAGGGTGAAAAACCCCATTTTAGGGCCAAGTAAAAGCCTCAGTACCTCATAAAAGAAAGAGAATTTTTACAGAAAAAGCTTTAAATTACAAACAGAAAACAAGATTTACTTTCTTTATCTTTACATATGGGTCACTTCTTTAATTTTAACTACATAATTGCATCCAATTTGCTAATGCTGACTAAAGGAACGGTCAGGCCATCAGTATCATTAGAACTAAATGTTGTTTGTATTACCAGACATAGTGTTGCTTTCAGGCACTGTCCTTTCTAGTTCTTTTTTCACTAAAAAAGGAAAAACAGACAAGTTATGGTTTAAAGAGAGTTCCTGTACAGGTCTGATCTTGGAGCAATCCTCCTTCTTCGGCTCACTGTCTGAGTGACGACAAAGTCTATTTGGGCTGCAAGAGTCTACTCTGAGAAATGATTTTGCATCAGATATTTCAGCAAGTAAGACATCATGAGACAATGGTTGCCTTCGTGCCCTTTAGTGTTGCTGGAGAAGAAGCTGTCTCCGGTGTGGCAAGCAACTAGGTGAGCAAAATGGATGGGCAGGGTAGGAGGATCCACTGAACTCTAAAGAAAAACAGAGCTCTCACTGAAAAGAGGGTAGTCAAATCAAAATCTTTTACATTTGTCAGATTCAGGTGGCTTCAATCTGAAGTGGCTTCAATCTGTATTGTACTGAATACACATCTGTCAGAAAATCAGAAGATTCTCTCTACTACTTCAGAGCATTAGTTCACCTTCTCCAGTCTTGCCTTTCAAACTATGACTGGAACTAGATGTAAAACACACATCTACTAAAATAATATTAACAAAATATGTTTTGGAAGAAAGTATGGACTGCTATGGAATCAGCTACAGCCCAAAATGCACAATATAGTTATAATCCCTGTACTACTGCAGTGCTGCAAGTAGAAGAACACAGAACACAGTGCAGGTAAGACCATGCTCCACAGACATGAGAAGGTAAGAGAAAAAAATAAGCACAAAACTTCACTTTCATACTTTCTTCACACTCAAAAAAATGACTGTGACCCTGAAATGTACCTGTACATGTAATATATTAAATGTCTGAAAAAGATATTTAATCATGTATTTTAGAAAACATTATAAAATCAGACTCATTGCAGCACCATAATCCTGGTGCTTCAGATCAGCTCGTAAGGCTTACATATTCTGCTTTTCTTTACTATCTATGCTATAAACTTTACTAACAATACTTTTGTATCTTAGTCAAAAATTGCCAGGCAAAACGTGCATGGTACTAAGAAAGCAGGCTCCAAACACTACTAAACGCATTTATGTTTTGACATCTCTTGGCATTTTTGTATTGAAAATGCCATCTACAAGCACCAAATCAAGCAAAAATTCCCCAGGTTTAAATTATGATTACACAAAAATCAAGATCTTTAACCTTTAGTACTGCCACCTCTATGATATAAGCCCAAAGCCTCTTTCTCCCTTTTTATCCCTTTTGAGACCTGTTTTGTTACAGATTAGCCTCTGACAGAAAAATCTGAACTGACCACTCCACTCTTTTGCCCAATACACAAAGCTGTCTTCAAGCATGAAAACATTCTCTTTCCCAGTTTCTTAATTCACAGATAGAGTCTAAGAAGTTGGATTTCATATTTTAGACAATCATAGAATCATTTCGGTTCAAGATGTCCATCAAGTGCAACCACTAACCCAGCACTGCCAAGTCCACCGCTAACCCATGCTCCTAAGTGCCACATCTACATGCCTTTTAAACATCCCCAAGTGTTTAAAACCCAGGTTTAAACTCCATCACTTTCCCTGGCAGCCTGTTCCACTGCTTGACAACTTTTTCCTAATATCCAATCTAAAGTTTTCCTGGTGCAACTTGCAGCAATTTCCTTGCCCATTGCTTATTACCCGGGAGAAGAGACTGACCCTCATCTTATCACCTCCTTCCAGGCAGCTGTGGAGAGTGATAATGTCTCTCCTGATCCTCCTTTTCTCTAGGATAAACACCCCCACCTGCTCCTCACAGCACTAGTGCTCCAGACCCTCCACTCCCAAAAGACAAGTCATCCAGTCCATTAAAAGTGAGAAGGCAAGTGAGACTTCCCCAATGTAAGCATGAGGGCATGAAGATGATTCTCATGATGGATATGTACACAAACACATCACAAAAATAGTTTTCCTCAGAAGGCAGAATTTCCCAATATTGAAGAAACCTGAGGCCAGTACATTTAGATCTGATACATCACTTCAAGAAAATCTGAGTGAATACAAATTAAGCAGAGAGAAATTAAGTAAGACCTTCCTTTGATGATTGCATACATTTGCAAACATTTTGAGAACTGACTCTTAACCATTACACACACAAGGAAAACCACCAAGCATCTGTATCACATTCTTTACAAAACGAGACAAATGCAATTGGCCAAACAGAAAGTTTCAATTCCTACTATCTCGTGGACTTGAAAGAAAGAAACCAAAAGGATCTTTTTAGCCCGAAGAGACACAGAAGCGTATCCTGGCCCAAGTCTGGGATGAATACTTGGACAGATGTGAATGCAAGTAAACTTCACTGATAGAGATCCACGCGAATAACAGTCCGGGGAAGAGTTTCACACTTTCCCACGCTTCATATAAATGAACATGACCAGAAAGACCTCTGCTGAAAACATCTTTGGCACTTACCTCAGCTGCAGAACGGGCGTTTGCTTTAGCAGGAGACTGCCTCTGCCTCCCCGCGACTGCCAAGGGACGGACAAAATAGGAAGTTGCCCGGCAGAGCCACAAGTAACGCTTTTTCCTGCAATTCTGAAGGCCAGAACCTCCCACGCCCGCCGCTGCGACTGGCGCTGTCAGACTCCGGCCGCCTCACAAGCTCCGCACGGCGCCGGCTGCCCGCGGGAGGATGCTCTGCCCTGCCCACAGCCCCCACAGGCGCCCGCCCCCGGAGCCACCCCGGCCGGCTCCTCCGCACCCCGGCCGGCCCCTCCGCACTCCACCAGCCCCTCCGCACTCCGGCCGGCCCCGCCGGCCCCTCCCGGCCGCCACCCCCGCTCCCGAGATGGGGAGGAGACCGCAGCGGCCTCGCCGCTCTCTCGAAGGGCGGGAATCAGCCGGCCGTGAGGGAGCGTTCGCAGCGACTCTTGGGTGCCGATGAGCCAAGTCAAAAGTGTCTTCGAATCGCATAAACGCGCATAGCCAAAGAAGGGTTGGGGAGCAGCCAGCGCCGAGGAGCACTCACTCGTAAGCACCTCATGCATCATTTAGGGCACAGGCCAGGGAATAAATAAGTGTGATGCCTTTTAAAACTAACAAATGTTTTCCACTTAACGGCTTGGAAGAAGACTGCAGCCATCAGCAACATAAAAAGAAATAACGGGACTGAAAATCAGAAGGAACTTTGCAATTAAGATACTGTGAAGTTAGTAAATGGAAATCCAAAGTCCCTAGTTAATGTGCCTCCTATTAAGCACTGACAGACCTTGCTAAGCAGACACTCTCCAAGAACAGATGCTGAATTTCAATACAGTATTCAGTACATTCAATTTGAATTCAGTACATCAAGAGCTCTTGGCCCCAGTTCAGGAAGAGATCCATTACAGACAACAAATTGTTGTTGTGTCACGCACAACAACAGCGGTAGATTGACTCATTTCAACTTCCATGACTTGTGCACCTCAAGTTTTTTCAGGCTATTTTAACACACAAACTCAACACCCACTCCAACTTCCAGATCACTCATTAGCCTTCACCCTCTTTAGCTAATCATCAGATTCAGCCAGGTAGCCCGTTTGCTTCCCTTTTTATTTTGAATGATATTGCCATCTCCCCATCATTCATAACCTTCACGTAAGGGTGCACTGTAAACTGCTTTAATGCTTTAAAATTCCACTTTCTATTGAGAAGTATACATTAGCATGCATAGTAATATTTTGCAAACTTGTACTTGTTTTACTATGAGGTAGCAGATGAAACAGAAATGTGGTTCAAAAGAAGTGGATGTAAACTGTAGCCTAAGTGCTCTTTGGTATACCAGATTTTTTTTTCTTTAGTAAGAATATAAGAACAAGCAGGACCAGACCCTTAATCATATTTAGTTACTGAACCTCTATTCTAGACGTGGTCTGATTAGTGCCTGTTCTCACAGATGAATACATTACTGACACATTGAAAGTTGGCTGCTCAATTTTTCAAAACCATGAAAAGCTGCACCAGACCTAATAAACTAGTTAAATATTTGTCTAAATTCTTAAAAACTTAAGTCATCCCTCTGCCTGCCTCAGGGCTGCATACATGTTACATTAAGGCTTCCATGGTCTCAAACGCTTGGCTGTGGACTGGACAGTAGCACTAAGGAGATTCCAGAATGCAGAGGGCACTTAATGATAGCGTCAGTAACTGTTTCAGCTACTACCATTTATAGCAACTTAATAGTAAAGAGAAAAGCATCTTACAAAAGTGATGTCATTTACCAAAAGTGATTTGGCAGAGAAGATGGGAAACCTTCAGAGTACAGTAGAAATCCTGCCAGAAAATGTGTTCCATATCCACACTTATGGACACTTTTATCCACTTTGCACAAGAATGCTCTAGAAGAAATAACTCTTCCATCCTGAGGGTGGGAGCAAAGTGAAGCTACTGTTCCTGAAACATAAGGAAGGGAGTGCCTTCCACAGAAATACTCAAGTGTTCCCATTGCTGATGCCTCTCTACCAGAGACGGCTAGTGATTCAGGGGTAACTGCTCCACAGATGGATTGATTCCTTTTTTGAAGAGCAGCATTTACACTTTCTCTGTTGGCAGGGTGGGACAGGATGCTGCAGAACTACTGATAAAAATCTGACCCTCATTGCAAATTGATTTGTTACCCGTAGTAGTTCAATTTTGAAAAGCATTTATCTTACATATTATAATTATTATATATTGTTATATTGTGTATAACCACACCCTATAAAGTTACTGACCACTGTATAATTACAGTGAGCCTGTGTTCATTAACACTGGCACAGAATAGAACATTTTGTAGTCCAGTGGAAAAATTAGGTGCATTTTCATTGGCCAGTCCGCAAATTGACCCAGCAGCATTTAATCACACAGTCTTAGCAAAAGCAGGTTCAACAGAAAATATACACTGAATTTTATTTCAGGAAGTTGCAGAGTTGGTATTAACAAAGAAACTCATTAGGCTGATTTGTACCTATGTCAATGACTTGAACTACTTCATTCCTTTAAATGTAAAGAGGAGGGCATAACAGACTTTTATTGACTTATGGATTGCAAAACACAAAGAAAAACCATGAGTGTCCTTCTATTCCCTACTGGCTTCACTCGTGGGGAAGAAAAATCCAGTGAAACAAATTTGATTTTGATACCATTTTCCAAATATGCATAAGTCCATTTTTCAGTGAGTAGCTTAACACTAGAAATCTACTAGCATCAACCTCCATGCAAGGCTGCATTTAACAGGTAAAAAATTAACTATGTTGTTCTTAAATTTCACTCTAGTGTAACATAAAAATTCAACAACAACAGTACCCTCAAAACCATGCTCTTAAATTACTGATTTATGACTAAAGCCTTAGTTTAAATGCAACACATTGTCCAAGCTTATGTAACATATCACTGAATAAGCAACAATAATGGGTGTGACAACCCACTGCTAAGGGAAAGGAAGCACCTAAGATTTGTAAATGCCCACTGGTCAAAAGGAGTAACAAGTCGAAGGGTCTGAAATAAATCAGAAAATTTTATTAGCAAATTATAGATTTGGCACAGAAATTGGTGTTAGTCCCTGACCTACTAAATAAGCAGTGAGTTTTTGATAAAAGCATGGGGGAGAGAGAAAGGATCACCATAATCCGTCGTGTGTCTAAAGTCAGTTTTATATGTGCCCATTGTAGGGACGCTAAGTCAAATTAGAGTCAGAGGCAGACTCCACAAACTGCTCAAACCTAATAAAAAGCATAAGAAATGTACCAATTACTATGTTCTGCAGTGTGCAACAACCAACATTTAAGACACACAGAAAGGCTTTAATGCCTAAGTGCAGTTATTCGTTCATCTTCTTCATTTGTAAAGATTTATTCTTCAAGAAAATAATCAGGTTTTTCACTAAGAAGGCCACAAAGTTGTTACCAATTTCAGAACAGAGAACTGTGCAATACTTCCTTCCTGTCACATCTTCCTTCACAGCCTTGTGAAATCACAACAGCTGTAGTTGCAATCTGTTAAAAGGATGGCAAAGAAGGGATGCTTTACTCCCAGAGTACTGTCTTTAGTGGTTTATTACAGAATTTTTTTAACATATTTTCATCCTATGGAAATGTAACATTTCCAAGCCTTTTACTACAAGTGCAAAAGCAGTGAAACATAATTAAACATCATTTCTACAAACAGGCTACAGGAATTACTGAAAATATCATGTACCTTTAACAGCAGGATGACAAAGTGCCATTTCTTGTAATTTTCCACCCAAGATCACAGTGAGCAGACTCCTTATGATAGCTTCAATCAGCATGAGTTACTGTTGGCAGAGAGTCACTATGAAGGGAGAGCTGCAGCTGTTTGTAGTAACCACCTGCAATGAAGCAAATTGCTCACGTACATTTTAACAAAGAACATAGAAAAGGGAAGAGGCTATGTAGATGAGAATAGCTTATCAGCCAGATATTCTTCTCTTACACCTACCACTGCCTACTAACTCATATCACAAAATGTCATGTTGACTCATTTTTTGAACAATGCCAGGGATTGCAACTCCACCACCAACCTGGTGAGCTAGATCCAATGCTGTGTCAAGGCTTTATTATACAGAGACGACACCAAGTACTTGCTGAAACTGTTCAGAGTGGAAAACAATGAGAGGCAAAACACTAACCAATCTCTAACCTGCAAATCTAAGGAAAATCATGGTGATTAAAGAAAATATGGAAGTATAACTCCTTTTTATAAAATGAAATAGCCATAACATGGAGAGGAGTTACAAAAGAGCATGACCAAACTGAATTTGAGACATTGGAGGTACTTGCTAGAGAACCACATTTCTGAAACAGTAAAAACAGTTTAGGAAGTGTTCTAGACATATTACTTGCTTCCAAGTCTCTGAAATTCCTATAAAGGATTCATAGAATGATTTGAACTCTTCTCTTTCCTAGTTGGCTACCCACAATTCCAAGGAGTACCTTCCAAGGAGTCAGAACATCAAGTCTTCACTTGGGCTTTTTTGTTGCTGTGCTCTGAGGTCAGGTTTTTCCTTATAACTCCTCAGATGTCTTATGAAGGGTACACTAGCATTTAGTCAAGACTAACATGCTACCAGTTATCCATATCTTCTAATAAAACACTGCTTTGTATTCTTAAATTGTATATATTGTACTTGCAGTCTACAGGCACAGAAATTCTCAAAGGGGTTCAGAGAGGGTGGATTACATATTCACTACTCTAGACACTAAATGTGAATAAAGCAAGTATATTCATTGCTAGACGTAATCTCTAAATGAGCTGATGAACTACTACAAAAGAGTTTATATTGCAAGCTCAGAAATTCATTTGTTCTGGTGAAGAATGTTCCTTTGCTTAATACATTTGTTTATGTTGCTATATGATCTTATAATTACAGAATCTCTTAAGGAAACATAGGTCTTCAATATAATTTAATTTGACTGGCATATTTAGACCAAGAAGCCCACAAAACACTGCTACAGGAATAGCTTCACAATATCAACTGATAAATGATAATGATCCTAAAGGAAAAGACCCAGCATTTTTAAGCAGCCAGAGTGGAGGGGCA